CCTGGACTTTTGCTTCCAGAACAACTCCTCATCACACTGAGCTTCATCAAGCTCCCTTTTTAATTTTTCCCAACTGTCCCAATTCTTACCATCATTAAGAAGCCGCATCTCCTCAAGTTTTAGTGTCAGCTTTTCAATCTTCAAAGCATTGTTGGACTTAAAGGCTTTACTCTACTTCAGCAAAGCAATTTTGGTATGCTTAAGTCTCTCTTGAAAGGTAAACATAGGTGTTCCAATGAAGTGAGCATTCCAAGCTTGTTGAACCACCTCATGAATCCCTGATTTAGTAATCCACCGCCTATCGAAATGAAACCTAGACTTCCTCTTGTTGCAACTGCTACTATCCTGAATCAACACCAACAAGCTGTGATCAGAAGTAGTCTTGAAGCAGTTTAGCAGAGTAGCATTAGAGTGATGAGCAGTCCAATGGAAAGAGCCAAATACTCTATCCAATCTCTCTTCAATGAAGTTTTCATCTGCCCTGTTGTTAGACCATGTGAACTGGTGCCCCATCATTGGAACTTCCACCATGCCCATCTGATCAATAAAAAGTTGGAAGTCTCTCATTTCTTCTGCATTCTTATCTCTGCCACCAATTTTCTCCTTACAGTTCGTGATTGCGTTCCAATCTCCCCCAATAATCCACTCCCTACCCCATTTAGATCTAGCTCTCAAAAGAAACTCCCATTGATCTCTTCTGATACTTTTCTCAGTGCTCATGTAGACTAGCACCACCCAGAAGGAACCACCTCCCTGCGGATGTTGCACTTCAATCTCCAAACAAAAGGTGTGACACAAAACTTGGATAATTTTTTGCTGAGAGTCCCACAGAAAGGCTAAGCCTCCACTGAGACCAACAGGGTCTACAGCCAACCACCTATCTCTGAACCCTAGCTTGTTACACACAGTATTTACAAAGTCCTTCTGCTTCTTAGTTTCAGATAAGAAAATGAAGCTGGGGTGGTGGATTCTAATAGAATCCTTTAACTGAGAAACTGTAGAGGGCCCACCCAGACCTCTACAGTTCCACAAAATCATCTTCATTTATTCGGTTGGGGCCACTTGAGGCTGGCTTCCTCCACCTTAGCATCAAAAACTTTGGATTTTTTCTGGGTCCTCTTCAAGTCTTCAGAACGTGGTTCCTCACCCACAGAAAGAATGGCATCTTCTCTGCTTCTTTTCAGGGTTTCCTGATTTTCCTGTTCAAACAAGGGTTTTGAACAGCTCACATTTTTTCCTTCTGTTCTATGCATCCTTTTCCACCCTTTAGAGGTATTGGCCTTCTGAGTCTCCGTTGACTCCTTTCCATGGATTTCATCTAACTGCCCCGGGCCTTCTATGACAACCTCCACCATTGTCTGATCATCTTCTGCACAACTTTCATCCATCAGCAAGTTCTTGTCCAAACATTCCCCTTTTGTGTCACCATAGGGTTAGCCATTTCATTCTGCTCCATTTGAACTTGTTTATCTGGATTACTCACAATTGCAGAGCTGCTGCAAGCGATCGCTTTCTTCTGGGCCTTAAACACTCCCTCTTCATTACTGTCCTGGTGAACTTCTTTATTGGGATTAATTTCATGGGAATCTCTGCTGGACTGGCCAATTGCTCCCGCGTGGGCCTGCGTTTTCTCAACATTCCCAGTATAGGTTGGGGAGCTCGATGAGCTGGCCTTCATGTATCCACCTCCATCCACAGCTTTAAGCCAATCTCCGTACTGCCCCTCCTTGAATTTACCGTCATTAATGTCCACCAATCTTTTCCTACAAGATCTGTCCAGATGCCCAAGCTTCCCACAATAATGGCACAGGTTAACTAACCTTTCATACTTGAAGCTTATGAGGACTTGCTGGTCCTTTAACTTCATGTGAGTGAACCTTGGCAATGGCTCGTTTATGTCTATCGTGACAAGAAGCCTTATATAACTTCCTATCTCTCCTCCTGCCTTAATAACATTTGCATTTTTCACCTTCTTGAACATCTTACCAATTTTCAACCCCACATCTGTGCTAAGCCAATCAAGGGGCACATTGCCAACATGAACCCACATGTCCAGTTCAGAGAAACGCTTGTGATTGGTTCCCAACCCCTTCTCCCATTCAGACAAGATAATGTACTGATTTTCAAATATCCAGTTCACCCCGGCAGCCACCTTCTCCTTGTCCTCTTTGTTTCCAAAAATAAATTGAAACAAATTATGACTGAGCTCAACTACTTCCACTGGCTGCCTTATCCGCCAAATCGCTCCCATGGTTCTTTTAATACCCAACAGAGAAGCTTTTCGATCACCAATAACCTTCCCAATCAGACTACGATCACATTCCTCTGCGCTTATCCTCACATCTTTCACATCCAGCTCAATGACCCCGCTTTCTGCTCCTTCT